AGTTAATATATTTTCGAAGGTAATTAGAAAATATGTAAAGAACCGACTTTCTCTTGGAAATTTAATTTATAATCTTATAACTGGAGTCTACTATCACACCCTTTCCTCAAACGTGTATTAATTCAATATTCAAATAAGGTATATTTATATAATTTGAAAAAATCTCCCTACTATACAAATATGTACAGCAATATTGACTAATATTTTCAAATGTTGTGAGAGGGAGTAACAAAACAATATTACTTTTAAGGCGCAGCGAAGCACGCCGTGTATTCGCTAGTATTTAATAATCAAATTAAATTAAAATTTTAAAACAGGTGGCTACCTCCCAAAAAAATATTTTCGGCTGTAACAGCCATACCTAGCCATGAACCAAAAATACAAGATCACGTAAGAACGCGACGTTGTATTTGTAACTGGTTTTGAGAAAAAAGTTTGCGAAAGCGGGTTCGTCAGCTGAGCGTTTGTTTACATCACAAGCACCACTATTTTACACTTTTATTCAAGTAAAGAAGAGTTAATTCAACATGACAACACATTTTAAAGCATTTTGTTGCATCATTTTACCTAAATTGTGCGTTTAAAGTGGCTGACAATAATTTTGGCTAATTTTGGTTTTCGTTGTTTTCTTTGCTTTGTTTACTTTTCGCTCATTTTCCAGTGAAACAAGAGGGCGTAGAACCCGCTAAAAAAAATCGACTTTTTTCACTCTCTTGTTCTTACGTGAACTTGTGTCCTTCGTTCATGATACCTAACCAAAAGCGTCAGCGTTGTCTGGTTGGCAAAAAAATTCCCATGATCATTCAATTTGTATGAAGCATACCGAAATAAAGCGGCGTCAACGCTTAGCGGTTAGAAGATCCGAACTTGACAGGGCGTTGGGAAGTGAAGTTTGCTGCAGCAAACGGCGAAACTGTCATTTTCGTAATTCACATAAACAAACCTATGTTTATTGTTGGTGTTATTTATTCATTTAACGTAGCGTTGCCGCTTTTGTTTAGGTATTACACTTCGGCGTTAACGCTAGGCGTCAGACAACGCTCAGCCCAACGCTTTTGTGTGGGTATGACAATAGGCTTTCTTTAACCTCTTTCTTTTGACAGCCATACTTCAACATCTACTTTATCTTATCATTCTGCTTTAACTAAAATTTACAAAAATGGCCTCTCTAATATTGTTTTCAATATTTTAAGTCTAGCAATGCATCGGTGAGAAGTTCATTCAGTTCCATGCATTAGGTTTTGACTGATGCGCGTGCAAACATACCAGCAGAAAGACAGACAAAATTTCAAAAAACTCTTGATTTGGCTTCTGTTGCTCTAATAAAGACCTCCCATATTAATTGTTCTTTAATATCTATAATACATCGTTTTTTTACAATTTTATTATATGTATAGAATTAAGCTTGAGAACAGCAAAATCGAAGCCATAGTTGCACTTTGCGCAGTTCTTTTGCGAACGGTATTTCTTTGATATATTTTGCGTACTTCATATAAAAATATATATCCCCGCTCAGGTAATTCGATAATCAACATGAAAAAAATGTTTAAGCAAAGAAACAATGAAAAAAAAGGCCCAACTTTTTGTAAATGACCACCTTAACGTTTATTGTTTTATTATATTTTCGGCTGAATAATTTTATCAACATACATAAGCATTGCTTTCTATTATAACATTGTCCCTCCGAATTTTCCTGAATGTAACAATGTAAAAAAGGCCTAACTGTTTGTAAATGACCACCTTAACCTTTATTGTTTTATTATATTTTCGGCTGAAAAATTTTATCAACATACATAAGCGTTGCTTTCTATTTTAACCTTGTCCCTCCGAATTTTCCTGAATGTAACGTTTTTCATTTCCTTGTTTATATGCTTTAGTGAAATAAAACTCTTAAAAAAAAAACCAAAAAATGTGAAATATTTCCAGAATGTCACTTTTAGGTGAAAAGGGATTTTTCATTTAAAAAGCATATATGGGAAATTCTTGCCGAAGAAAGATTAATCAAAAAGCCTGCCTCCCAAGAAAAACCATGACATAAAACCAAAAAAAATGTCATGAAGAAGGTGGAAAAAATTCAACATAAGCTTATGTAATAAATGAGATTCAAAGTGATATGCAAATGTTTAAAAGTCATGCATTTAATGTAAAAAATCAGTACAATGCTTATCAGCTAGTATCCTTTTTT